CAATGGACTATGCTTTTCATGTAAAGTTGACTATATTAAGAAAAGAACACATACCTCTTCAAAAATATATAGCAGAACATTGTTATTTAATAAGTACATGTCAAAGTTATCTTGGCTAAAGTCTAATCTTGTTTCTAGATTATGGAAGGATCCATCTCTGCAGGCTGAAGCAGGTCATCACTATCTTAGGGAGATGATTTATCAATGTATCCATCATGCTTTCAAATTTAAACACTGAGTTTTATACTTCTACCAAATACAGAGGTTATCCATACTTTCTTTTTGATAACTAAAAGATATACTTGTCAAGAAGCTTTCAGACTATGGTTTTAGGCACTACATAAATATGTGAATAGACAGCTTATAGAAGAAAGAGAGAATATGAGGTATTTGGAGGGGTTCATTTATTCACAATTCATAAGTCAGTTCATAAGGGTGGAAGTTATGTTAAACAGGATGCTGCCAGCTCTACTTCTGCCTCAGGCAGTGAACTCAGTATAAAATGCAGCACAGTGAAACTGTTTAAATCACTAATCCCTCTGCTTTCGTTTAGAGATACGCGGAGAGATACACACTGCTTCACATAATAAGCTGTGGCCAGACAGAAGAAAATGCAACCTCAAGCACAGGCACACCGGACATTGTGTTTACATTCAGAACTATGTTGCTGGTATTGAGCGAGTCTCTGCTAATGGTAAATGTCAACTAACAGACAGAAGGTAGTATCATGCGAGTCTTATTGATCCATTAACAGTAACCTGGAGACTGATCTGCCCCTCTGAGTCGCAGCCACCCACAGCTAATCAGAATGGGTCCTCAATGATAAAACATGCTGTGGATAAAGAAGTACAAGCACTATGTAGATTATTTTTTAAAAGCAGTTTTTTGGTGTTTTTTAAAATAATTTTTCCTTCTAATATATAATATCAAATCTAAAAAAAGAAAGAATAAAGTGAAAAAATAAGGAACACCCTCTTGTGATGCATAATAACAATAGGATGAATTTGGCATCTTTTTAAAAGTAAGATTTACATTTTTAAGAACTAAGAAAAGCTGAACAACATTCACATTCTTCACTTCAGTTGTGTTACGTTCTCCCTTAGTTTATAAGTATTTCCATATTTAACTGGATAAGAACTAAGATATAATCTTCCCAACTCATATGTCATGGTTTTCTGACATTTTTCTAGTGGCGATTGGTATAATTCAGATATCATAATGGATTCTTTGTAGTTATTGCATTAAACTCCACCAGTTTTATAACAATTCCTGAGGCTCTTTTTGCAGGAGGGAGCAGGTCCTAGGGATCAAAACCAAGGCTGCAGGCATGAGTTACCCCTGAAGTACTTCCCCAGTCCTGCATTACCTTTTTAAATTTTCCAAATTTTTGTTAAGAAACAAAACGTATTAAGTGTTAACATGTATTTAGTATGTTGTCAGGTAATAGCATTTGGTTTTTCGGATACAGCATCAAGCCTTCACCTCAACGCACTTAAAAGTGTACATTGTTTGTGTTCCCATTTTACAGAAGAGAAAACTGACAAGATGAGAGAAAGTGAAATTAGGATTCCCACCTGATATTCTGCTTTTAAAGGATGACACAGCTTGTCCTGGGTCACTTTTCAACATCATGCTTTCCATTCTTTGACTACTGCAAAGACAGCACCAATGCGATCCCTTTCATTGCTCCACTCCTTAATCATTTTGAGTAAACCCCTTTCGACAAACAGTAATTCTTCAGTCTTCCGAATAAATCCAAAGGGCGGTTTACCTTACCAATGTGTGATCACCATCTAGTGGTCAATTTGTGTTAGCAGCAGGTTGCTCGGTAATGAAAATTGCACACGTTGTTCCTGATGCTAAAAGTTCCTACTAAGGAACTTAAAAACTTAGATACAACCAGAACGAATTCTCCTGTAGGAAAGATGGCAGTGACCGGCTGTATGTACATATTCTGAATCAATAAAGCCTTTGGGAAACTCGTCATAAAATATTTTACGTTCCTTAACTTGGATAAATCTGCATATATTACATGGAATTTATAGTTAACATTTCCCACGTTCATTTTGCTTTTTCAAGTTACACATGTATTAGAACATGTCAACGGTAAGATACTTTTTAGTAAAAAATAATAATCATTCTTAAGGACAACAAATGTGGCTAATATTCACCAATTGAAGAAGAAAGAGTTGGGGCAGTCATGTGCTTTTTGTTAATTTTAGTGCTATCTGTGTTTGCCTGGTGGGTTGTGTGTTCCCGTTTTCATACATTCCCTGTGAAAACCCACGTGTCAGTTGGCCTTAACTCAATGGCATCCAGCCCTCACAATAGGCATGCAGGTCTTTGTTATCAGCTTTCTTCAAAAGCCACATCCCTTGTCAATTTCAACACAGGAAATGTAGCAGGCTTAAGAGACAGAAGTGCTAGATTTTATATAACTACTGTAAATAACGTTCAACACCTATCACAAGATATTCTTATATCCGCACTATTTATACATCCTGTGCTTTCCACGTTCAAACCTTGTCACTGTGCACTGCGTTTTTTAAACAAACAACTGAATTCCATTCTCCACACAGTCTTGAAAAGTTTTGTGCTCCTATGTGTGAAATGGGGCTCTAGTTGTCATGCTTGTACTGTATTTGTTACATTTTGAAGGCTGTTTCTGAACTATGTATAAAGGCATTCATAAAGCTTCCTATTTATTTTCTAACCCTTTCAAATTTTAATGAACCTAAAAATTAACTTTTCTGTATCTCAATTATTTCTTCTTCGTTTTCCTTTTCCATAATGTTCTAAAACTGCTAAAGATAGAAATTCAAAATGAGACTTTAAAAACTCAGTTTCTTTCCCTGTTTTTAATTTACTCTCAGCATTTTTTCCATGCTAACAGAACTGACAGCTGACAATATTTAATTACATAAATGTATTTTATATATACTTCAGTGCCTGTATATGAATTTTATCCTGAATACAGATTTGGGTACTTTTGTATAAGGATTTTGGTTGTAGTTATTCATCAACTAGGAACAAAGAGTGTACAGTTCCTCTTTGGCCAATACTTACTCAATTCTGATTAAAGTATCATATTTAAATTAAATTTATTTTATGCTTGATTTTTAAATTATAGATGAAGATAGATACATCTTTAACAATAAACTATTATTTACTGATTATGTGACACAAGCCAATGTAAAAATCAAATATCACAAATCTAAATTTTTGAAAGCACAAATTTTAAAAACTTTTAAACATCAACTTTACATATTGATATGCATTTAATTTATTTTTATGTGTTAGTATGTGCACAGTAGATAAAATTTACATTCCTTGCATATAGTTTGTATGTGTACATGAGGCTTCTTAATTCCTTCTGTCACTTCCTTTTTCTTCTCTCCCTCCCTCTCCACCCATCATCCCCCTTTTTTTTAATATACCTATATCCTTCATTACTGACTTACATACATTAAGCTTTATACAATGCTGAGGTCTGACATAAAACTTAGAATTTGTCTCTAACAAATAAAGTAAAAAGAGCCTTTGAATTGTTGTTTCCAATAATCTCATCTGTTCTACATTAATTCCACAAAAGGAATATTTGCCATTTAATATTTGCACTGAAATATGCTGATGTTTAAGTGTATTTTCCCCCACTGCACTTGCTTCACATACTGAAAAAAAACCTAACAGTAGAGAAATATTTTACTACAATTCTGCTATAAGCAAACACTGAATGTAAACTCGTATTATGAGTGAACAATGGTGTATCTCTCCTCACTTTAATTTTCAGTAATTGAATGGGGAAACAGGAAGATCTATTAGAAGGATCATTGCTGGCCAAGCACTAATGAGAAAATCTCTGAGTCACTCGCTGTCATGGTAACAAAGCATTATCAAATCTGATTACTATGCTCCCTAGCTTCTTCAGTGACAGGCCACACTTCTAATTGTATTGTCTCTTTGCAGCATGAGCTTCAGGGTTCTCAGAGGTGAGCAGGTGTGCATCAGATAAGGAGTGCACTGTGTGTTCACAAGCTGAGTTCAAATATTAGTGCTAAGGGTGAGGTAAACTTTGGGAAGATTTTCAAAAATTGCAATTAACAGCCTTAGTTCAGTCTTGTCATTAAATTATACACTTATGAATAGTTTTTTAATCTAATTTCACTGATATTCATACCAAGCAGAAAGATTTGTAAAGAAAAAGGAATTTAGTGCAAACACAAAAATGAGCCAGGAAGAACTCTTCCTAAAAACAAAATTCCCAAACGGAATGAAAAATTTAGAAATTGCATCAGCGATTTCAGGTCTCCGAAAGTGACTTTGCCAAGCAGTGTTACGAAAAGACAGATCCAAGAATGTTGAGAAATGTGAAGAATGACAAACAGCAGAACATAGTCAGGATTGGCAGCCAGAGTGGACTCCAAGGGGCTGGCAGTACTGAGCCCACAGAAGCGTGTGTTTCAGTGTCCTTCCTTCTAGGCCCTTAGTCTTTGGGGTACAAAAACTCAGTGCACTTCAAAAATTACAGAGCTCAATGTTTCCAGAACTGATGAATTTTTTTAAATATATTGAGTGTCACTGAATTTTTAAAGAAATCGATCGCTGCCTTCTGATCCTTTCCCGGATGTGACTTAATTCCCCAAGGAGAGCCTGCAAGATTAGCAGCAGCAAAGCAAACACTGGCATGCATTAGGGACTAGAGACCCATGCACCTTCTCAGGGCTTGGGGGCATAAGCAGCATTCATGATGCTTGTTCTAAGAAGCTTATTACTCTTGTGAAATGCATCAGCACATGGATGAAGTTTTACATGTACTATATATCAAAAGCAATCAATCTAAAGTCAATATAACGAAAGTCAACGGCACATTTATCTACACGTTTCTGAATTCAGCAGAGGATGTGTCGCTACAGAGAAGCAGTCATCAAAGCCAGCAGAGAAAGCAAACAAGCGCGTTCCCTGCAGGAATGAGACCCCAACTAGGGGTTTTGGGCACTGACCTGGGATGGAAGCAGCAGTCGGACAGCCAGTCAGTGTGGCCATGTCCCGTGAGAAGCACTTGGCCCTTCGGGAGGCTCACCACCTTCCAGACGTGATCCTCCCCACAGGAGACCAGGACGTCTTTGCTGGGGTGCATGAGGATGCTGTGCAAGGAGAGAGAAGAATGTTATGGGGTGAAAGAACAAGTGTTTTCAGGACTTTAATAAACACCATGCCAGTGGTTACCCCATAGAACCTAGCCCGGAAGACAGAGAGAACAGGGTCTCCATCCCTGCTCCAGCTTTAACAGTAGCAGCTTCGTGATCTTCATTAATCTAATCAACTTCACGGGACCTTGGATCCCTCAATTCAAAATGAAGTCATTGAGTTAGGTGATTGTGCCTGTCTACTTCCGGTTTTAAAACAATACTTGATTTTTGTTGTAGGGAAGGCAAAGTATACCCATGTATTTCTTGTGTTAGGATATTTAGATCAGTGATCATACTTATCATAAAAAATCAAAATTCTCTCCACACTATAGAGTATCTTAAATCAGGCATTATCCAGGAAAAGACTATGAATCACAACCACATTAGCACAGTTCTACAATAAATACTATAAATGAAACATTAACTCCATGGCCCTCTATCTACACAAAGCAAAGAAGACGCAATTCTGTGCTAATACACCACTTCAACTGGCTTCAGTCAATGCACAGTACACAAATTACGGTAATGAATTCAAGGCGCATAAGACAATTCCTTCTCTATACAGGCATAGAGGGAAATGAGAGAGAAGTATGCAAAATTAATGATTAACACATTAAGCACTATGGTTTGAACTGCCTCTGATCATTGTAGCTATTTAAATATTGGAACTAAATTATTCCAAATTCAAGAGTCTACAAGGTTAATGCCTGATATTTTATCTATGGCAATGTCTTAATCTTATTTATATAGAGTTTCATCTGTTCCTTACAATAGAAAGGGGAAAAATTTCTCCAGTGTGAAGCACTTATTAAAATACCAGCCTAAATATTAGCAACAAATTGTTCAATTTCAGTTTGGCCATCTCCACTGAAAGATACACATTTACATACCTTGATAGCACAATGAAACAAAAATGATTTTAAAATAGCAATCGCACATTCATCTCTCCCAAAGTCTACTTTATGGATTGTCTTATTATTTTCTTCTGCAACACAAAGACTTTAGGAAATCAATGTTCCTAAGAATTCATGGTTCTAGTCCCTACCTAAACAACTGCAGGTCTTACAAAAAAGCATGACTTTTCTTGATATATATCCCCTTCATTGATATCTTTAAGCCCCCAAATTATGAAGTGAAATATCATTTCCTTGGAATACACTACACATTTCTGGACATTAGCTAGTGTAAGTGTTTGATTTACAGCCTTGCAACTATTATGGACAAGACCTTGTTTCTAGTGAAACACTGTTTCATTTTTCTGCTCAAAAAATACAGTGGAAGTAAAATTATTCATTTCCCAATTCATCATCATGTTGGTTTGTACCTTTCAGAACCCCTCCAATTCAAGAAGGAAATTTATTATAGCGCAAACTAGGTATAATGTACATTTATGGAACTTAATTAGAAGAAAAATATGAAGAGAGGTAAAAATGTCAGATGGAAATGAATTCTACAGTCAAACATACACACGCAGGCAAACCAAATCCTTGAAGCTACTGAGTTTCATGTCTGTCGGCGCACAGCTTTCCTGGCACACACATGCACACTTTGACTAGATGACAGATTACCCTCTTTAAGAGAAGATAACTAAAATCATTGGTGTCTTTAAGAATTTTAAAAGAAAAGTTTCCACAATGACTTCTGTGAGGGGAGCTGTTTGTGGGAGTTAAAGAAAACATATTTTCTTGTAAAAACCCAGTCGTGACCATGCAGTTTGTGTTTTTTCTTGACTGTCCTCATTTCTTCTACCTTGGTACCTCCCCTCTCCCGTGGCAACTTTCAATTCCAATCCACATGAACTGATTCTTCTCCTACCTAGGAAACGGCCTTCCCTCATCTAAAGGGTACATCGGAGGTCACCAGTAGATGGAGAGGTCCATGGATAGTACCAATCTCTGCACATACCGTGTGTTCTGAAACACGCATATCTTGTATAAAAGTAAATTTATTCAGTACACATGAGGTTCAACAAAAATATAACTAATGATAAAACAGGACAATTATAACACATTTTCTGTTCACAAATTTATGCTTTTGCTCTATTAACTGAGAACGATATATGACAGCCATAAATTCTGAAGTTTGAGATGTGACAGCAAAACTGGCAAAATTTCTTTCTTCACAATTTCACGGACCAACAGTTTATTCTGAATCAAGATTTTAGCAGCTATGATTTTAGCAATCATTTTCTTATTAAGTCAAGCATTTTCACCTTGGCACTTGAAGCACTGAATGGCTTCTCTTTAGCACACCCAACTTGCCAGTGTCAATTTAGGCCTGTGTTAAATAAAATAAAGGTTATACGAACAGAAACACAAGCTGTTGAGGTAGCTCAAGTCAATCTGGTAACACAAAGGCTACTGAGTGACTAAGAAGCAGGTAACATATAAGGGATGTGATTGAAAAATATGGTGAACGTTTAAGTTAAAAACTGTTACAGTATAAGATACATTGCCATTAATCCCCTCATAATACTGTTGCTCACTTTGTTGCATCCTGTCATCTGTACCACTCTGAAGTAGTTCTCAAAGCTTTTTTCTGTCGTGTCTTTAGTTATGTGGTTTGGCTACCTCAGTGTCCTTAGATGACTCAAAATGTTTCCTGTGATGGTCACTGTGACTTTGGGGAGAAGTCACAAACTTCAAAGAGTGAGATCCAGTGATAAGGTGAGTGAGCCTTCTAGCAATGCTGTTGAAGCTGCCTTTGCTTGGATGGTACTCTCCTGGGATTTACGGTGTCACCTCCTAAAGACTCTCAGGCGCGAGGTCTTCCATAATTGCTGCAGAAAGTGGCACAAATGATGCAGTAAGAGAGCTTGAAGAATTGGGAGCTTCTTGAGGGAGATTGATGACAATGTATCATGCACTGCAATAAATATTTTTAATGTGAGTATTACCCTATAATTTTGTTCATTCTCGCACAGAATGGACATGCTGGGAAAAGGGATGATTCACATCAGGAAGCTTGGAGCAGGACAGCATGAAATTTTGTTACACTACTTAATAGCATTAGTTTAAAACTTATGAATCATCTATTTCTGGAATTTCCCATCTAGTATTTTCAAATTACAGTTGATTACGGGTAACTAAAACCATAGAGAGAAAAGATATAGATAAGGGGGCTCTATTAAGAAAGTACACATACAAACATGTATATATCATCTAGAAATTCTGATAATTCTGCATACATTTCATTCAGACATTTTATTTTATCCTTCAAAGAATATAAAATTTTAATAAATCCATGAAATGGTTAATAAATACAAACATTTTCAGTGAATATAGAAATTTAATCCTTTCATAATAATTGATGAGTAGCCATTTCTTTTTGTTCATTACCTGCATGAGCAAATATTGTGTCACAGCAATAAATACCCCAATCAACAATTCCAAATTCCTGTTTAGATCACTTATAAGACATGATCAATCAACATAGGGAGCACAGGTTAAGAGCAATGGACCAAACACATTTCTCAAAAAACAGAAGTTCAGTATTATTATCAACTCCATAATGAGGCACTGGTGTCCAAAGTCATTGTCACTAACATGAATGATATCTAACATTGTTTGAAAAATCAATATGTGACAATTGTACTAACTGCTTGCTTTTAATGAGTTAAGTAAAAGCTCATGACAACAGGGTTTTAAATCTATATTAACAGTACTAACACTAGCTGCCACATACAAGATTTTCAATAAATGCTTGTCAAATATTTGACTGAGTGATTGATTCAGCTGCAATTAGTACTAGGGGTCTAGAGATTATATCCATTTCTCAAATCCACATTCAGTAACGCTTGGAAACTGACTTTGAGTACAGGATAGGTTTTTAATTCACTGAAAATTCCCCTTCCATACTCAGGCCTTAATTTTTCCCACTTGCTTATAATATTTGAATCAGTTTTTTGAAGAAGCTGAAGAGTAGAAGTAATATATTACTTTACAGTAGTCACCTGCCAATCCCAGAATCGCATACATTAACTGGTTAACCAAGGTCAGATCTACTACTATCTCCATTTGCAGATGGGGAAGTCTAAGGTGTAAAAGATGAGAAAGTGAGACAGCCAGAATGTGTGAATGTAAATGGACTGAGACTCAGAATCTCAATTGCCTTTTCAATTTTTAGATGACAAAACAGAAAAGTTACATTTGTGTTTAGCAACTTTACTGAGATGCATTTTAAATATTAAAAACGCTTGCTAACAATGCATAAAATTCTGTAACTAGTATAACTTGTTCATCTGGAAACTGCACACTTAACTCTGTTGACATGATAAATCAAACAAAGATGATGGAGAATGACCAGATCAAAATATTTCAGCCCATGAGCCATATGGTCTCTGTTGTGTCGATTCATCTTTGCCTTGGTAATCTGAAAGCAGCCATAGACAAAACATAGTGAATGCACAATTCTGGGTTCTGACAAAACTTTACTCAGGTGCAAGCAGGTGGCCAGGCTTGGCCTGTAACTGCAGTGTGAAGGTCCTTACTCTGACAGCATCTGCATGAAATGGAGTGAGTGAGTGTGTAAGACCATGAGCTCTGGAGCAAGACGTGAATTTAAACTCTCTATGTATCTTTGGATTTTTGTTTTCATTTTAGTTTTGTTTTTTCCAGATTTTGCCTCAGTCACTCCTTGAAAAATGGGAACACTATAGTACTGGTATCACAGAATACTAGTTAAATTAATATGAGTAAGGGATGTAGAACAGTACCACAAACAGTGAGAACTCAGTGACCACTATCACACTGCAACCTGACAGGCTCCGGAGGACCAGTTTAGCTGCACTTGAAAAACAGCCCCCCGCTACTCACTGGCTGATTCTGTTGTATAACTTCTCAGCCTCAGTTCTCCGATTTGTAAAAATGAGTAAAAATAAGGCTGATTTATAGGTATGCTCTGAATGCAAAAGAAAATCAGAACAACTACCTGAATACAGTCCACGCTCCACAAAT